CTCAGGTAAGAGACCCTGATGGGTCCAGCATAGCTGGGAACAACAGGGTCACTAATACCCTGTCTCAGAGGACTGTCATCATGAGCTGGAACAACAAACCAACAAATTGATGTCTCTCTCTCTAAAATCAATAAATTTTAAAAAAAAATTAAGAAAAAAAGCCAAGTAAACTCCCACCAGGGAACTTCACTGTTGAGATGAGGCACAGGGGCACAGCATGGGCTTGAGCCTGCTGGCAGAAGCCTAAAGAGATAGCACACCAAGTTCTCAAGTGCTAAGATCTGGACTTTTCTGGTTCAAGACCTTCTCGAGGCTGGATGTACAATTCCTCCTTCTAGACCATGAGCTAACCAATAAGCTGCCAATCAATTCTTTCTTTATTTAGCCAAAGTTTTATTTTGTGTTTCTTGCAATTGAATCCTGAATGAAAAGAGAAAACTGGTTCTATATTATTTCAAAATAAACAATGTTGGCTGGGAGAAAGGGGAGATATGTAATGGAAAAAGCTCAGGGATGTGGTCCTTGAATAAATTATTTAACAAAGACATCTGAGTCTCAGTAGAGACTTCTAGTAGGGGCTTCAGTGCACTCAGACGACTGGGTAAACTTGGTTCCAAAATTCAGGGCCTGAATCTCAGTCTCTTCATTTGTAAAATGGAAATAAAGCCTACCTCCAAGGATTCTTTGGACCAAACAGAACCATCTTTTTTGTTGTTGTTGTTAATCCTCACCTGAGGATTTTTTTTCCATTGATTTTTAGACAGAGTAGAAGGGAGGGGAGAGGGAAGGGAGGGAGTAAGAGAGAGAAACATTGATGTGAAAGAGACACACTGATTGGTTGCCTCCTGCACACACCCTGAGCGGGGATCAAACCTGCAATCCAGGAGCATGCCCTTGACCTTAACCGAGAATTGAACCCTTGACCACCCAGGCTCTAACCACTGAGCCAAACCAGCCAGGCCCAAATTGAACCATCTTAATCACAAAAGGGATTTAATGAATGGAAGTTATAACCCAAAGAATGATGAAAGGAGACGATCAGGTCTAGGTAGGGTTTTCTGCTTCTCTCAGCAGATCAACTTCCTTCTCTCCTACTGCATTTAAGTTTAAATTACCAGTAAGGGAACCAGCAAACCCTGGACTCACAACCACAGAGCTTTACAATCATTTCATGAAGTTACGTCATAGCAATGTATTGCATCGAGGCACAAGGACTCTGCGGGGCCCAAGCAGCTGTATCTGAAGATAAGAGAATGTGTCACAACTTTTGAGTATTTAGTTTTCAAGCCCACTTGGAAAGTGCCAAAAATTGAGGAAGTTCCCAATCCCAGGGGACTTCAGGTACCACTCTCACCCCAGAGCCCAGAGGTTGGTAGAAGAGCCATCCTTTTTTCATTCAGAGAACCAGAGACTTATTCCCACAGAGGCCCAAATGCCCTTCTGCCAGTCCTCCTGCATGGCCACCACTCTTTACAAAACAGTGGTCTTGCCTGGCTGGGCGTGGCTCAGCGGTTGAGAATTGATGTAGGATCCAGGAGACTGAGGTTCGATTCCCAGTCAGGGCACATGCCCAGGCTGTGGGCTCGATCCCCCGCAGGAGTGTGCAGGAGGCAGCCGATCAATGACGACTCTCTCATCATTGATGTTTCTCTCTCCCTCTCTCTCCCTCTCCCTTCTTCTCTCTGAAATCAATAATGATATATTTAAAACACACACACACAAACACAGTGGTCTCTATTCTGAACCACTCCCTTATTTAGCAAAGTTAGTCACATTTTCTTACCCTACTGGAAGGAGAACTCTTCTTTGTTGTTGTATGCAAACGCATGTGAAGGGAGAACCCACCTTTGATTTTGCACCAGGATAAAAAAATAAATTAAATTAAATTTATGGTAGCTACCAATATTCAGAGAAAAAACTGATTCTGAATTCCAGGAAAAATGTGAGAATCATTTCTCTCTCCTCTTTTGATCCTGGTGGAGCTAGTTTTCATTAAGCTCAGTCCCAGTGTCTTGTAAAAACACCTTTACCTCTGGTGCTACAGAACATATAGGGCCCATTGCAAAGTTAAAATTCGGCACTTCCTGTTCAAAAGATATTAAGAATTTCAACATGGCAATAGCAGAGCATTAAACCAAGTGTGGGAGTTGACTAAGCACAGGGCTCTGTGTACTGCAGTTTGCCAGCCCAGAAAGTAGGCCCTGATCTGTGCTCAGGTCTCTAAGCACAGGTGCTCATAAACAGGTCAGGGTCAGGGCAGGAAACAACCATCCTGACCAAACGCAATCCAGCCCAGAGAGATGCAACTCTCCCTCCTACACATGCCTTTTCCATTCATCCCTCCGAGTTCTTTGAGACATCTTACTTAACTGGAAGACACTTGGGGGAGGTTTTCCTAGAATGAAGGAATGGTCTGCTTAAAGACTAGTAGAGTGTTAATTATTGCCAGAGAGAAATTACTTGCAGTTTTCACAAGAGTTTTTAATTTTTTTCAGCTTCTACCCATTAAGGTTTACAAAACTTAGCATCTGAGTTTTAGCCAGGAGCCTCTGGACAAAGTTGAGAGTGCCTCAAGCCCACAGGTTTTAGTGGGAAAGAGCTACATTGGCTTGGTCTTGCCACTGAAAAAGCAAGTTAATACTGTATTGTGTGTGTCCCCTATGTTGAACTCTCTAGAAGCTTTTAATTAATTCTGGTAGGCTTTCCAGGTGTGCAACCAAATCATCACTAGAAAATCATCATTTGCTTCCTCCTTTTGATTTGTTATGTCTCATTCTGTGTCCTGCCTTTTCACATTTGCTATAATGCAGTTTCTTTTAAAATTAGCTAACAAATAAATCATAATATTGTTTTGTGAGAAACTTGAAAACCTGAGAATAAAGCTCATTTAGGAAAGTAAATGCCTAGGAGCAATTTAAAAATTGAGGGGGAAAAAGAACTGATTAGAAGGTACTTGCTTTACCAGGTATTAAATATCCTATAATTATCCCATGGAAATTAAAACAATGACAGAAATACTAGCACAAATAGATCTTTGGAAGAAAACAGAATGTCTAAACAAACTAAATTTGTATTATGTAGTATATGAGAAAGTGGCATTTCAAATCAATAAAGAAGTGATAATTTAGTAAATGGTGTTTCAAAAACTAAAAATTAGGATTAAGAATATAATCATAATTGTAATTAAAGAATTATGATAAAATAAAATATTGTAATAATCTTTTAGAATGGTCTTCTTGGTACATAGAAGACCATTCTAAGCATGAGCCAAATCTAGGAACTCATAAAGAAAAAGACTACTAAAAATGCCTATATAACAATTTAATGTCTCTGTACAGGGTAAATGATCACAAAGTTAAAAGACAACAGACAAGATAGGAAAATATTTGTAAAATATAAAGCAAAGGTCTATATGTAAAATATTAAATGTTTCTACAAGTCAATATTAAAAAGATAATCCAGTAGAAAAATAGGAAAAGAATTTGAACAATTCATGAAAGACAGTCTTCAATGATCATATGAAAGGTACTCAACTTTGTCAATAATATGTCATATTGGCTTATTAGATAGGCAAAAGTTAAAGTTTGACCATTCTTAGGTCTGGTGAGGAAGCAGGTACAGGTACAACCTACTTAAAGGGTAATAGTTGATATCTACAAAATCAAAAGCTCACATCATTTCATCCAGCAATTCCACTTCTAGGAAGTCATCTTAGAGACACAGTGAATGCTTGAAAATCTGTTTGTTCCATTTTTGTGGTAAATGATCTAATGGTTCAACAACAGGGTACTGGTTGGGTAAATTGTGGAATAACCATGTAATCCATATAACATAATATATAGAAAGGATGAATTAGCTCTGTACGTGCTGATATGGAAAAAGATGTCCCTGAGTACGCTGAGGAACACACAAAGCGAGCTGAAGAACAGAACAGGTAGTAAGATCCTGTTGTTTTGAGTACAAGATGTGCTCAGAGGTCCCATGACATTACCTTCTGGATCTCACTCAGTGCTAAAACACTTTAACCCTCTTACTCTCAATTTTTTTAAAGTTCCTATTCTTTTATTGTTTAAAATTTTTAATTTACTGATTTGAGAGAAGAAGGGGGAGAGGGAGAAGGAGAAGAGCGACTTGTTCCAGTTTATGTGTGCATACATTGGCTGATTCTTGCATGTGCCCTGACCCAGCGGACAAACCGCAACCTTGGCAACGACGCTCTAACCACTGCACTATCTGGCCAGGGCCACTAGAGTATTCATGCTTGTTGGCCATTGCCTCCGTTTATTGTCTGAAGAAAGTCCCATGCGTGCAAGAGCTTAAGTTCAGCGCTTTATCCCCAGTTCCTAAACCATTTGAGGTGTTGGATAATTATTAATTTAAAAAATGAATGGGGGCCCAGAAATACACACATATATTTCAAAGTTACATATGTTTCAAAGAATGTGTATTTAAGGTAACAAAGTCTCCATCATCTGACACTAAATGCTAAAATATTCTAAAATAATTATTTGTAGTATCTTCCGCCCATTGACCAAGAAGCTTTACTTACATAGTATAGGGTCCTTATAATGTGCCTACGAAATACATAAAAATAGAAATAATTAACATACATTTTCACTTCAAGGCTTGCTAAAGTTAGCCTTTCAATTGCTGGTCTGGATTCTAGGTTGGTTGAATTCGCGGATGCGAAGCCTGTGGATAAGAAGACAACTGTATTTATTGGGAGAGAAAAAAAATCCGTGTATAAGTGGACCCGCACAGATCGAACCCGTGTTGTTCCAGGGTCAGCTGTCCAGTCCACAGCCTTAAAAACCCCATTCCGGCCACAGCACTCGCCTCACGCCTCCTCGGCGGACCCGAGACGCACCCCTGAGGCACGACGCCCACGCCCGCCCCGCACGCCGGGAGGCGGGGCTCGCTCCGCCCACGCCGGCGTCCTCCGGGGCCCGAAGTCCCCGCCCCTTCCGAGGCGTTTCCCAAAACCCTGCGCGGCTGCCCACAGCCGCGCTAAGATGGCGACTCCCATGCATCGGCTCATAGCCCGGAGACAAGCGTGAGTGAGGGCCCGCGCTGGGCTGCCGGGCGGGCTGGGGGCGGGGAGAAGCGCGTCAGCCGGCGGGTGAGCAGGCGCCCGGATGCGGGGCGGGTGTCGGATCCTCAGCGGAGCCCCGCAGAGGATGGCTGTTTCTTTCGCAGGTTGGCTGCTAGCTGCTCGGGCCGGGCAATTAGTTTAGTGTCGGTGGGCTAGCGGTTTCGTAGAAGACGGCTGCGTAAGGTCCGCGGGGCGGGACCTGAGGGTGGGGTTGGGGGGTTCTGAAGAGATCTTACAGTTAGGTTTCCCGGGAGGGGACGCGCAGGAGTCGGTCGCGAAGTGGCTGGTGCCCCTTTGCCCACCTAGCCGCCCACCCACGCGCGGCCAGGGAAGCCTGAAGGCCCGATCCTGGCTCTGGATTCTCACCGACGTGAACCTTCAGCTGCCTACCTGCAGCCTCTAGCCCGCTGGCTTTTCCTGCCCCCTTCCTGCCGCCTTCCTTAGGAACAGCCTGACTACAGCGCCGACTTTTCTCCCGAGCTGTCGTCTCATTTCCTGTCATTCATTCTCTTCGCTAAACGATGTATTCATTAACTGCCGCTCTGTGCCAGAATTTGAGTATAAAGCAAAAGAGGGGTTCAGGACAAACCCCGCCTTCAGGGAGCTTACGTTCTAGGGGTGGGGAGAGCCAATAATAAGCGGAACATTTTAAGTAAGTGCAGTTTGGTGATAAGAACTTTGAAGGAAGTAACAGGTGGTGGGAAGAGAGAAAGGCCCCTGTTAGGTTGGTTGGGCAGGGCAGGTATTTCTGAGGAGGTGGCGTTTGAACAGAGATTAAAAGTGCGAGCCCTGGCCTGTGTGGCTCAGTGGTTAGAGGGTCCGACCACGCACCGGGGTGCATGTGGAGGCACCCAGGGATGTGTCTCTCACTCATCGGTGTTTCTCTCTTTTCCCCTCCCTTCCATTGTCTCTAAGAATCCTTGGAAAAAACACCCTCAGGTGAGGATTAAAAAAAAAAAAAAAGAAAAGTGTGAGAAAAGACCCAGTCATGAGAGGATTTGGGGAAAGGGCATCCAAACAGTGTCATAATTGCTTTGAGATAGGAAAGAAGGTAGTTTTTAAGAACTGAAAGATGGCCTTTGTGACGAGAGAGTGAGTGGCACAGGTTTGCTATAGACAGATAATGCAGGAATCATCCCACGTGCCCCTTTCTTGTAAAGCCTTTTTTTCTTCTACCAACCTACCTGCCCAAATGTCTGCCTCTTTCATTCTCTCAGCGTTTCATGCCATCACCATATGCACATCAATAATACATTCTGCTAGCATATATGTATATTTATATTTTTTCTTCTTGATTTTAGAGAGGGAGGAAGGGAGAGAGAGAAAGAAACATCGATGTGAGAGACATACATCTATTGGTTGCCTCCTGTATGTACCCCTTCCTGGATCAAACCCACAAACTAGGTATATGCTCTGACGTGAATCCATCCAGAGACTTCCGGTGCACGGGATGAATCTCCAACCAACTGAGCCACACCAGCCAGGGTTATATTTCTTTTCTTTTAAAAAAAAAAAAAAAGATTTAATCATTATTGTTGAAAGTATTACAGATGCCCCCCTACCCCCAGGGTTGCCCCCTTCATCCTGCGTCTGCCCCCAACCTAGGCCTTGACCACATTATCATTTGTCCATGGACTATGCATATATGCATATAAGTTCTTTGATTACAGGGCTATAGTTCATTTATTTATTTATAATCCTCACCTGAGGATATTTTTTCCTTTGCTTTTTCAGAGACAGTGGGGAGGGGGAGAGAAATAGAGAAACATCAAAGTGAGAGAGACACATCAATTGGTTGCCTCCCGCATGTGCACTAACCGGGGGATCGAGCCTACAACTGAGGTATGTTTCCTTGGCCGGAATCAAACCCAGGACCCTTCAGTCTGTAGGTCAGTGCTCTAACCACTGAGCCAAAACAGCCAGGGCTATATTTTTTTTTAATATTTATACTTTTTATTCTAAGGGCCCTGTCCATTTTCTTCTCCCCTCCATCAGACTCTGTCTCTCATGCCAGTTGAGAAGAGTCCCTTGAGCATAAGGGTAAAGATTTAGAGAGTCAGAGTACGTAGTATGCTTGATGGAGGAAGGCTTTGCAGTGAGTTCTGAGATCGAGACTGGAGTGCTAGTAATACTTAATAAGCATACTAAATGATGTCACCAGGCTCCACTCTCTAATTCTCAGGCTGGTTCTTTTGGGTGTTGGTTCCATACGTGTGTAAGTTCAGTCCTTTGGGATCAAGATGGCTGCAGTATCTTGGGTCTTTTATATCCTCTTAGCTTCAAGTTGATGGCATCTCATTGGTCTAGACTGGGTTACATGCCCAAACCAGAACCAAGTCCATGGGATTGTAAAGCTATGATTGACTTAGATGTCATTCTCTTCCCAGAACAATTGAATGGATCTCTACAAATCAGTGATGAGCTGGATGGGTAGGTCAGAGGAAGTAGTGAATGCTAGATTGGCAAAACCAACCAATATCCACTCTAAATATGAAGTGAAAGTGAGACTTTTAGCACCTAAAGACTATTGTTATTTCTTGTTTTAGAAGTATCAGAAAGTCATACAAATGTTCTGTTTCTATAGTATGCCTGTAGTTGGTACATGAATAAAAGACAAATCTTACCTTTGGGAGCTTCTGGTCTTGGGAAGAAAACATAGTGTGTAATAAAAGCTGTTATGGTATACTAACTGTAAGTCTGCAGACAGAGAAAGAGGGCCTTTAGAAGCCGGGGGTCCAGGAGAGTTTGGGGAATATTTTTGGGAGGAGGGGATCAGAAAAGAGACCTTTGCTTTTAATTTTATATTAATCAAAAAAGGTTTTATTTATTTATAAAGAGCATATATTATTTCCATAACAACAAGTTTTAAACTGCTTTTAAGTCAGTCAAGAGAAGTGAGAAAGTACTGTTATCTTTTAAAAAGTCCTTGGACTAATAGGGAAAAATAACAGGAAAGCAAAAGAGCCTAAATTTTAACTCCCCAAGTATCAGATCTTTCAGCGGCTTAGCTTTAAATCAATTGAAATGAGATTATTTTCACTTTTTAAATTGTAATTACATGTACTCATATTCATGTAAGTAGATTATAGAATCTTGGCACTATTGAAGTCATTTCTTCTACTGAAACCACTGAATTCCACTACTGTCTCTTCAGCATTTTATGGCAGTCATCTAACTTTGGCTGGAAGACCTGCAATAAGGACATATTCACCTCCTGAAGTAGCCTGTTACAGTTTTCAAATCTATTAAAAACTTTATGCTGAGCTGAAAGGAAAATAATATTTATGAAACTAAACCCTGCTTCCTTCTAACTTCCCAACTTATAACCTAAACTGATTTCAGTCTGTTAAAAACCCTAAGTGTTTTCCATTTGAATTTCCATCAAGTCAAGTTTTCCCTGTCTTGTACTCGTATTGATTTTCTGGGCTTAAGTATCAGATTTACTTTTACCCTTGTTAAATTTCATCTTGTTAGATTCGACAAAAAGTTCCAGCCTGCCGGGCCGGTGTGGCTTAATGGCTGAGCATCGACCCATGAACCAAGAGGTCACCAATTGGATTCCCCATCAGGGCACATGCCCAGGTTGTGTGCGCACGCAGGAGGCAGCTGATTGATGATGTTTCTCTCTCATCGATGTTTCTTTCTCTCTATCCCTCTTCCTTCCTCTCTCTAAAAATTAATAAAAGCATATATTTTTTAAAAAGAGTTCCAGCCTGTTGATACCTTTTTGGATCCTTATCTGGTCATTCGTCATATTAGCTGTCCCTCCCAGCTTTGTGTTAATTGCAGGTGTGATAATTTCACATGTCTGTGTCCTTTGTAAAAATGTTCAACAAGACCAAACTGAGGACCAAACCCTGCAGGCCATCACTGGATACCTCTCTCTATATAATTTACTTCAACTTGTTAAACAGCACTCTTTGTCCATGATGTCCATGATGTTCAACTGATCTGCCTAATTGTTCTGTTTTGTTCACACCGATATTGTAAGAGACTTTCCAGGATGCCTTATTGAAATACAAATATCCAAAAGGCAATACAGTATTAGTCTGTAATGATTTGATACCTAGTGTTCATGGCTCTTCTTTATGAATTGATTTAATCCAGCCAGCATTTTCGCTGCAATGGATGTCAAGTTCACTGGTCTAGTTTGAGGAATCTAATCAAAACAGCATTTGCCTACTTCCAGTCTTTCAGCACCACTCCTGTGTGCCAGAGTTCCTCACATTACCAGCAGCAGTCCAACAGTCTCACCTGGAAAATCTCTGGTATGTCAGGGAGCAATAACGGGGTCATGTGATTTAAACACATTTGTAATGGATAAGGGCTGTTACATACTCCTCAAATATCTTAGACTTCAGTTTTATTCTTTTTATTCTATGTATAATTGAATCTGAGTTCAAACTGAAGCAAAATAAAATAGTCCTGCTTGTTCTCTTAGCCCATCATGCAATATTGGTGGCCTTTTTGCCTAGCATGCCAAATAGTGAACCTATCCCTTTTTTGGTTGTCTGTGCTTTAAATATAACTAAGACACAAAATGAAATAATTTTTTATGTTCTTGATATTTTTTACTAGTCTCAGCTCATTTTGGCAGACTTTCAGATATTTGTCTTATAGGCCCTTACCAACCAACAAACAAAAACTTACTGAGATTTTTATTGGCATTACTTTGAATCTATAGATCAGTTTGGAGAGAAGGGACATTTTTACAATCTTGAGTCTTCCAATCTATGAACATGGTATGTATATCCCTCTATTAGCCACTTATCTAAATGTCTAGCCCCTCTCAGTAATGTTTGTTTTCTGCATAAAAGTGTTACACATACTTTCTTCTATTTATTTCTAGGTATTTGGTATTTTTCAGGATATTGTAAATATTACCTTGACCTGGCCAGTGATTAGAGCATTGATTAGAGCATTGGCCCTTGAACTGAAGTCTCAGGTTTGATTCTGGTCAAGGGCATGTACTCAGTTGCAGACTCCATCTCTGGCCCCGGTCGGGGCATGTGCAGGAAGCAACCAATCAATGTGTCTCACATCAATGTTTCTCTCTCTCTCTCTCCCCACTTCTCCCCCGCCAACTTTCTCTGAAAATCAATGGAAAAAATATCCTTTAGTGAGGATAACAAAAATAAATACCACCTTTTAAATTTTCATTTTTAACTGTTTTCATTACATAGAAACAATTCATTTTTACATGTGGATTTTATATCTAACACAGTTTGGCAAACTGAATCCCACTTGCTGCTTATTCTTGTAGTCTTGCAAGCTAAGAATGATTTTTTGTTTTTTTTAATTATTTATTTATTTGAGAGAGAGAAACATTGATTTGTTGTTCCACCCATTCATGCATTCATTGGTTGATCATTGTATGTGCCCTGATGAGGGACTGAACCTGCAACCTTGGTGTATCAGCACACTGCTTCAACTAAATGAGCTACCCAGCCAGGGCCAGAAGAATGTTGTTTACATAGGTATATATGTGATCAATTTGATGATAAAGAACACTAACTTTGAATCTCAATGGAGTAAAACGTTATGCTCCAGAAAAGGATTCCATTCTTATTAGTGAACCTCTTTTATTTGAAATATTTTTATTAGCAAAATATATCTGGAAAATTGTTTTTTTATTATATAAGTATCTACATGATACCCTCACTTTTGCCTCTTGGTCTGCAAAGCCTAAAATATTTACCATCTGACCATTTACAGACAGTTTGCTGACTCCAGTCCAAAGCCTTGCTAAACTCACTTATGAGTTCAAACTATTCAAAAAATTTTATCTGTAGATTCTTTTGGAGGTGCCATGTACATAATACATCATCAGTGAGGAATCACATTTATTTATGTTTTATTTTTTTAAGTATATCTTTATTGATTTCAGAGAGAGGAAGGGAGAGAGAGAGAGAGAAAGAAACATCAATGATGAGAGAGTCACTGATCAGCTGCCTCCTGCACGTCCTCCACTGGGGATGGTGCCTGCAACCCGGGCATGTGCCCTGACCGGGAATTGAACCTTGATCTCCTGGATCCTAGGTCCATGCTCAACAACTGAGCCATGCTGGCCACGCCAAATTTATTTCTTCCTTTCCAATCCTTTCATCTGTTTTTCTTTGCTTGCTTTATCTTAATCCAATTTCAGGAACTGAGATTTTCCTGAGTCTTCCAGAGGTCTAGAAACCAGGCTGCACTCCATATATGGCTGGTTTATTCTTAAGGGATAGACCCTCAGAGTCCTAAGTGTGGATATAAATGACAGGGCCGACCACTCTGGATTTCCATCTTCTCCCATATCTTGGCTTGATTTTTTTTTTTTTAATATGTTTTTATTGATTTCAGAGAGGAAGGGAGAGAGAGAGATAGAAACATCAATGATGAGAGAGAATCGTTGATTGGCTGCCTCCTGCACACTCCCCACCAGGATAGAGCCCGCAACCCGGGCATGTGCCCTGACCAGGACTTGAACTGTGACTGCCTTGTCCATAGGTCGACACTCAACCACTGAGCCAACACGGCCTGGCAGGCTTGGTGATTCTTTACTGTCTTGTTAGTTCTCTGATGCCTCAAGCAGATTGTTTTAAATGTTTTGACTGTCTTCCAGTTCTGAGCCTAAGCGTTGTCCTAGTCTCCCGTTACTGGAGTGAAGATTTGAGCTCATTTCTTTCTTAACTTCAAGGTCCATGCCCCTAACCACTTACTATGCTGTGCTGTGATTAAACCTAACATAAACAATTTAAACTGTAAAATGATGTTTGTTTCTATTTAAAAATAAACATCATTTTACACGTTACATTGTTTATGCTTTTCAGGGCAGAATTTAAGGCCTGTATTCTGATTTTTGCTTTGTAGCGAAGCAAATAAGCAACATGTAAGATGTCAAAAATGCTTGGAATTTGGACATTGGACTTATGAATGCACAGGGAAAAGAAAATACCTACATAGGCCTTCAAGAACAGCAGAACTGAAGAAAGCTTTAAAGGAAAAAGAAAACAGATTATTGCAACAACAAAAGTAAGTTTACATGTGATATCCAAAGGAATATTTTAATTTATATTTATAGACTGTATTTAGGGCCATCTCATGGTGGTTATCTAGATTTAGGCTATAATATTAGCTAATGTTTAATGAGTGCTCACTAAGTGCCAGGCACTTTACAAGCTCTTTACAAGTGTTAGCATATCTAAGCGTCATATCTATAAAATAAGGGTAAGTACTATTATTAATCCCCATTTTACATATGAAGAAACTGAGGCATGGAGAGGTTCAGTAGCTTGCTCAGTGTTGTCACACAGCTAGTAAGTTGAAAAGTTAAGTGTTCAACCAACCAGTCTCTTTCGAATCAATGCTCTTAACCATTTTGCTTTATTGCCTCAACTACCAATGGCATGACAACAGGATACTATGTGATAGATTATATAAGCTGATATGAAAAGATAAGTATGCCAAGTAGAGAACAGCATATATAATATGCTATCATTTATGTTAGAAAAGAAAAAGGAATAATGGGATTTAAAATATATATATAAATGATAATAGTAGTTCCTTTCTAAAAGGAGAACTGGGTAGGAAGGAAACTGGAACATTGTTATTTACCCTTTTATGTTCTTTGAATAAAGCTTTTTAAATTCTAATGAAATAAGGGTACATGTTTTAGAAAAACTGAAATAGGAAGGGGGCTGGTCAACTTAGTGCTACACATAAGAAGCAGCGTCTTCAGGACTGTTAGCTTCATAATAGTGTTATAAACATCTGGACTTTCAAGGCAGCTGCCTTCCAATTTGTGGACATGAGGATCTTCAAGGGTTATGCAGGAATAGATAAGTAATTAGTTTCTAGATTATCAACATTCATATATACTTTTTCCAAAAATAAATCTGTATGAGAACTAGTCTCCTGGTTCTTGAACTTTTCCACTCCCCTTTCCCAACAACCCTTCTTTAATTTCACAAAAAAAGGCATACCTCTCACTTCTCTCTTCTTACCTTGGTATATTGTCCTCATATATAAAAACCTAGAGATCCTTCAAAATACTGGTATTTGTACTGAGAAAGTGAATGGCCCTAATTATTGGGAGTAAATTATTCTATAAATTTTTTCCCCTAGCAAAATTGAAGTAGGACCTAATTGAGTTTTCAACTTATAAGTATATTTTAATGACATATTATTATGTTACTTATAGAATATAACATGGGAGGAGTTAAAAGCATTCACTGACATTGCTAAAACAAAACTCTTTCTATTCTCATCTACCTATTTAGGTTAACAAGGTTTATCAGGGTCAGATCTATAAAAATTAAATATAGGAATTGAATTGATGTTGAACCTTGTCATAGTCTAGCAATAATATTCATGGATACATAAACTAGAAAAATAATCCTTTTCATTAAGAGATGCATTTCCAATAAAATTATTTTATATATAATAATTATTTATAATATATTTTTACATTGTTTTAATCAATTTGTAGTTGTAATGGTAACTCAGTTCAGAATTTTTAAACACTTTTTTCTTATGATCATAGGTAATTAAAAGATACAATTTCAAGTTATGTCTCTTTTTACTACAGAGAAGTATCATAAGCGATCAGTAAAATTTTCAGGCATAAAAATATTTGGGATACATTCTAAGGGGAAAGCAGAATGAAAGTAGAAGTTCAAAAGGAAAAAAGAACAATGTACAAGTACCAACTTAAAGATAAGTTTGTGTGTTTTTTAAGTGAACTGTGGTAGGAATCAAATTATTGTGACATTTACTTTCCATTGGATACAATTATCAAAGTCATATAACAATTTTCTTATAGTGTAGCGAAGGCCTCGGGGAGGGGGCAGGTCTGGGGTGGAGGGGATCAATGGGGGAAAAAGGGGACATCTGTAATACTTTCAACAATAAAGATAAATTTTAAAATATTAATATATAATATGCCAGTGATTATATCCTTTGCAAATATTGAAACTTAGAATAAAAAAGTATGAGGGATACCCTAGCTGGTTTGGCTCAGTGATTAGAGCGTTGTCCCATGGACTGAAGGGTCCTGGGTTTGATTCTGCCTCAGTTGCAGGCTCAGTCCCCCGCCTGGGTCAGGGTGTGTGCAGGAGGCAACCAATTGATGTGTCTCTCTCATGTCAATGTTTCTCTCTGTCTCTCTCCCTCCCTCCCTCCCTCCC